GGGGATTAATTTTGTAGACCTTTAGACTCTTGGTAGAGAGGAATTAGGGGAGAATTTTGAAAAGGAACAAGAGGGTGACACTCCAGTTCCTAGTTCCCAAGTAAGGGGAAGGGAGGGAGAAAGGGTAAAATTGGGCCAAAAAACAACAAAGAGAAGAATTGGGAAGAAAAGTCAAAAAAAGAAAAGAGTGGAAGAACAAGATATTTCGAAGAAAAAGCTTGGAGGTGGGACACCTAAAAGGAGGAAGAAGAAATTGAGTGAAGTGGAGAGATTGAGGTGTGAAGTGGACTATGACAAGGGGTGTTCTGGGAGAAAAGGAAGGTAGTCAGGTTAGCAAAAGGTGGTTTTTAGGGTTGCTCATAAGTTAGGTTCTCAATGAAGATTATTAGTTGGAATGTAAGGGGATTGGGGAGTTCCAGGAAGAGAAGAGTGATAAAGGAAATGCTCAGAAAAGAAAAGCTAGATATTGTGTTGATTTCGGAATCAAAACTATTAGAGGTGGATAGGAGATGGGTGAGAAGTATTTGGTCGGCTAGAGGACTGAGTTGGCTTTTGCACAGTTTTGGGGGGCCTCAGGGAGTATTCTAACAATTTGGAAAAACGAGGATTTGGATTGTACAGAAGAATTAATCGGTAACTATACGGTTACAGTGAAATTCAGAAGAAGAATTGATGGATTGGAATGGCTTTTAACAAATGTTTATGGGCCAAATTCGTATAGAGAAAGGGAGGAGTTTTGGGAGGAATTAGCAACTATAAGGGGATTGTGGGAGGGTTCGTGGTGCTTGGGAGGAGATTTTAGTGTCATCAGGTTTATAACTGAAACAAATAACCCCAACCATAGGATCACCTCAAGTATGAGGAAGTTCAACCGTTTTGTGGATTCTTTTGAATCAAGGGAGCTACTGTTGGTGCACGCTGATTTTACTTGGTCTAATTTTCAGGAAGAACCACTTTGTTGTAAACTAGACATTTATTATCTTCAAACTGGGAGGAAGAATGGGGTGGTTTGGTGATGAGGGCACTACCTAGATCTACTTCGGATCATTGTCCAGTTAGACTATCTCAAGAAAGACTAGGAGGAGGACCTTGCCCCTTTAGATTTGACATGTGGCTGTTACATCCTGACTTTCAAAAGAAAGTGAAAGAATGGTGGGAAGAGGATCGGGTGGAGTTTAGGTGGAAGGGATATAGGTTTTATAAGAAGCTACAAAAACTAAAAACCAGGATCAAAGCTTGGAACAAAGAATAGTTTGGTAGAATTGAAGACAGAAAAGAGGCTATTAGTAAAAGGATTCAAGAACTTGATGTTGTTGAGGCAGAGAGAGGATTGAGGCGTGAAGAAAGGGAAGAGAGATGGAAGTTGAAACAAGAATTGGAGAAAATTCTCAAAAAAGAAGAGATAAGTTGGAGATAAAAATCAAGATGCAAGTGGTTGAATGAAGGAGATGGTAATACAAGATTTTTCCATAGCTCGACAGGTGGAAGAAAGAGGAAGAACATAGTGGAAAGTTTGGAATGGAATGGGGCAATAATGGCAAGAGAGGAAGAGATTGCAAAAGCTTTTGCGAAGCATTTTAAATCCATTTATGACAGCCCTAGTAGAGCAAGAGAGACTCTAACCGACTTTGAGTGGCATGTTGGAGAAAGGGAATTGTTGGAACCCCTGGAAAAAACCGTTTGAGGTTCAAGAAATAAAGGAAGCAGTTTTCTCTATGGAAAGATCAAAAGCCCCGGGCCCGGATGGATTCACTATGGCTTTTTATCAAGACTGTTAGGATATCTGAGGTGATGACCTAGTGGAGTTCTTTTTGGAATTCTTTGAAAGAGGAAAAATAAATGCGGGTGCAAATGCTACTTTCATAGCTTTGATCCCTATAAAGGTGCCTGCAATTCAGCCCAAGGACTTTAGACCGATCAGTCTGATTGGGAGTTTGTATAAGATCATTTCTAAAGTTCTTGCACTAAGACTCAAGAAAGTCAGTCCTTAATCTCACTGAATCAAGGGGCCTTTGTTAAAGGGAGACAAATTATTGATCAGATTTTAATAGCCAATGAATGTGTGGATTACAAAAAAAGAAAAGGAGAAAAGGGTCTCATCTGTAAACTTGACTTAGAAAAGGCTTGTGATTTGGTGGATTGGGATTTCTTACTAGAAGTGTTGAGGAATAGAGGTTTTGGGGAGAGATAGTGTAAGTGAATGAAGGGTTGTATTACCTCTTGTCACTTCTCAATCTTGGTGAATGGAGTAGCTAGGGACTTCTTTCTTGCAAAGAGGGGCCTTAGACAAGGAGACCCTTTGTCACCTTTCCTCTTTACCTTAGTAGTGGATGTCCCAAGTGTCTTGATTTCAAGAAATCTACTGAAAGGATGGAGAGTTGGGAGGCAACAAGTGATTGTTACTCACCTACAATTTGTGGATGATATCATTCTCTTTTGTGAAGGGGAAATTGAGGAGATGGATAATTTGAGATTGGTAGTGATGCATTTTGAGAGAGTCTCTAATTTGAAAATCAATTGGAACAAGAGTTGTGTAGCGAGGGTGAATTTACGGGATGATGAAGTGCAGTTGGTGGCTAGGGCTTTAGGTTGTGAGGTAAGTGGTTGGACTACCAATCTCGCAAAGCCCATGATTGTGAGACCTAGTGCCATGAGAGGCAAGATCACTTCTCCCCACCTTGCGACCTCTCCTCGGTGCCTATAGTAAACATTGACTTGGTCTTCCATTGTCAACACAGATCATGCCAGCCACCCGATCATCTACAAGCAGAGCTTCCACACACTTGAAACTTCAGTTTCCTTAGCTTTCAGGTGTCTACATGGTTTATCTTTTTTGTTGTTTAGCTATTTTCTAATGATGTTTTTGGCACCAAAAGTTGTAATCTTTTTGAGCTTGACAGTATAAAAGGCTGTTTAGTCTTTGTATTAGGCATTTTATCTTTGGAATTGGAATAGAAGTTGCTTGAGTTCTGCTGTCAGGTGTTTATCCTCTCTTGTTGGTCTTGTTTTAGAGCCACAAAGATCCCCTAAATTCGTATTTCTGTCTACGTGAGTAGAAGCTAAGGTCACTACCTCGATGAGTTGCAAAACCAAAAAAAGTCACTTGTTGCTTCAGTTTCACGTCTGTTGCAGTGTAGTAATGCAGGAGCTGAAGAATCAAATTTGGAATTTTCTGTATTTCTGTATATTGGACAGTATGGGTATTTTCGTCATTTTGACCAGCCCCATGTGGGCTTGGTCTATAGCATTTTGTTCCTCTAGCTTAGTAGTGTTTCTCTTTCAATTTTCAATTTATTTGCATTAGTAGATAGAAAGTTATTATGTTTCTTGATGCACAAGACAAGCAACGACTATTTTGTAATTATGGTGAACGGTATTCTGGGCCACACAAGTCACTCTATAAATAGATGTATTCTCTTTCTTTTGAAGCTAATAAATATTTCTTTAGACCTCTCTTGCAAGTTTTCTATATTAAGTGGTTCCTACAAACCCTAGAGTGATCCTAGGACCCTTGGAGTGATTCCTTAGGATTTCTCTCTCTGTTCTCTTTCTGTACCCTTTCTCTTCTCTCTCTCTCTCTCTCTCTCTCTCTCTCTCTCTCTTTCTATCTTGTAATAGTTTGTTCCAGCCCTATTACATCAGTTTTGGTATCAGAGCTAATGGTTGATCACCATTTTCTCACAAAGTGACTGATTCTATAGGCTTGGGGTATCATTTAAACAATCTCATGGATCTAGAATCAATGATGATAGGGTTTTGAACCATATGAATGGTCTATGGTTGATTTACTTGAGAATTTGGTGGAAGAAAATAGATCTAGTAATGTCAACTATAGGAGTAAGGTTTTCAAGAACGTTAGAAGTGAAAGGGAAGTGCCTAATTTCAAAGGAGATGAAGACCGACAAGCATTCTTTGACTAGATTGCTAAACTAGAACAATATTTCGAATGGCATGATATGTTTGAAAAACAACAATTTAGGTTTTCATGCATGAACATTTTGAGCTTTGCTAAAGTATGGTGGAGAACTCTTGAGCAGTGACTAGAAAATAGAGGTGAATATCCTATTACCACATGGGCAGAGATGAAGAGGTATTTGCAAGAAAAGTACATTCCACAATACTTCCATGATGATTTATATGTGGAGTCGAGTAGTCTTAAGCAAGGTATGCTATTTGTAGTTCAATATATGCATAAGTTTGATGAATTATATATTAGATGTGACATTACAGAAAGTGAAAGGCATAATAGTTTGTTTCATGAATAGACTAAGGGATGATATCAAGAATGAATTGTCTACAATTCAGATTTATGACTTACATCATGCCTTTTAATTGGCTCTCAAGATAGAGAAGCAGCTGGTTACAACAAAGAATTTGAAGACAATGAGAAGAAAGTACAAAGTTGAATATAAAGAAGATGATTTCTTGCATGTTGATGCCCATCCTAAATTAAATTTGTGAATAAAGAATTTCAACCTATAGAAGTTGTAAACATTGAAGATCAAAATGGTGCAGGCTAAGAAAAGATTGGAATTGTTGAAGAAGGAACTTCCAACACCCATGGTCAGCTTGAGGTTAACGATCAAGAAAAGATAGAAGTGAAGCAAGTTGAAGAAATTCAGGGCAAGATGCAAATGTGTTGGTTGTAGTACATGAACTATATTCTTTGCTTTGTGGAGATCATCTATGTATTAATGCCATTACGCATTATCAATTTATCATTTTTGTTTATTCAACATATCTTATTTTCTTATGGGACTTAAGTCAAGTCAGACTAAAATAAGATTGACCAATTTCTGAATTATTAATGGTTAAACTTTTAATTCCTGGTCTAAAATAATTTCAGGATTTTCATTCTTAATATAGGGAGTGGCTCATGACTTCTCTGTCAACTATGATTTTTCCAATACCAATAATGGCTTTTAAAATGTGCATTTTGGTTTCTTACTATTTACTTGCTTCTTTTGGTTGTCTATCTGATACCATGCTTCCATTAGCAGATAGTGTAGGGTATCAGGCTATCAGCAAAGATGCCCAATTCATCTGAGGGACACGAAAAGCTGAGAGCTAACTCAAGCCATCATGTGAGAGAAGAAAGTGAATATGCAAGGCTTGTGATATCAGATAATCCAAGTACGTCAGAAGTTGAATTTTTACAACCTCAAGTAGAATCAAGATCCAAATCTCTTGTCTGGTGGATGAAAGCTTTATTATGGTTCTGTGTTTTGATAATAGTTCTCCTCATTTTTCTGAAATGGGGAGTACCCTTTCTTTTTGAGAAGGTATCTCTTCAACTAATTCTTTCTCACTTGTTCTTTTTGAGACCTTCCATTTCAGCAAGGGGGCAATGCTTGGGCAGTTTATGCCTAAATATAAATGAGATGAGTAATGAGTCTATGAGCTATATATGTAAAGTGCAGGATACATTATCTACTTCGAAATTTCCTTATATTCTGAAAGTAAACATTTTAGAACCTTTTTTCTTGGATGTAGATTTCCATTGAGGGGTTCACCCTAGAGAACCTGAATTTGCTGACAGGTCTGCTGATACATATATTTCTGTATTGCTATAATTGTTTGCTTAAAATATAAACCTCTCTAGATGGATAGACAATAGTAAAAATGATTACTATATCATTTCATTAAATCTTGTACTATTATCAATCCTACATGCAGAGACGTTAAGCATGATGTCTTTTTATCCTCAATTTGTCTATGGGCATTTTGGTCTTGTATGTGGTAGCACCGAGTACATATCTACTTCTGATCTTGAAGCTTTGTCAATGTTATGTGCTGCAGGTTCTCCTCCCAGTAATGCAATGGGAAGCCACTGCCTTTGGACGGCCAGTTCTTGCAGCAGTGCTTGTTGCCTCTCTGGCATTATTCCCTGTTCTCTTAATCCCATCTGGACCCTCCATGTGGCTTGCAGGGATGATTTTTGGATATGGTCTTGGATTTGTGATAATCATGGTTGGAACAACCATTGGGATGGTCTTGCCCTATTTGATTGGTTTACAGTTCCGGGACCGTATACAGGTAAGAGCAGCCATGGGCAGAATGAGAATACTGCTACAATCACTATTACTACCACTGCTGCTACGTTTCTGACTTTGCTTGCATTTTGATTTTGGCATTTCTCAAAATATGCAGCAATGGTTGAAAAGATGGCCCCAGAAAGCTGCTGTTATTAGGCTGGCGGGGGAAGGGAGCTGGTTTCATCAGTTTCGAGTGGTTGCTCTCTTCAGGGTCTCACCATTTCCATACACAATTTTCAACTATGCTATAGTGGTAACAAATATGAGATTCTGGCCTTATCTATGCGGATCAATTGCCGGAATGGTGCCTGAAGCTTTCATTTACATTTATAGGTTAGTAATATTGAAGTCTCACCAAATCGTTTTCTTATTTGTTCATAAACAAAACATAATTAGGAAAGATGTCTATCCTTGGTCAAGGGATCATTACGGGTTTGAGTCTGAGAGCGGCCACTTTGTGCTGAAAAAAGGGGGAAAAAAGCCAATGATTAGGGCTGTATCCAGTTGGCACCCCTCCGAAGACCCCATATTGGTAATGGCCTTTTGGCTTGCCCCTTGCCAGCCTCTGGATTGATGAGGGAAGGCCTTTATTACTGCTAGACTTCTGTTGTTTTGCTTGTAGAGGCATTCAACTGATGGGATAACACTTGATGAGTAGAAAGAGTTTGTTTTCTCTGTTTTTAATGGCTACCCACTCTGCAAGAGACTAGGTTGGAGGGACTGGATGCATCTGAAATGCCATCCGGCTCCCTAAATTCACTTAACTTCTCTTTGGAAATCCCTGCAATTGTACCTTGTCACTGCCTAACTTCTTCCGTGTGGTGGATTTGGGTGCAGCGGGCGGTTAATAAGAACTTTAGCAGATGTGAAGTATGGTAAGCATCACATGACTACTGTGGAAATCGTTTACAACATCATCTCCTTCATTGTTGCGATAGTCACCACAGTTGCCTTTACAGTCTACGCCAAGAGAGCGTTAGAGGAACTTAAAACGGCAGAGGGTAATGTGGAAGACGCAGCCACCTTCGATGGCCGTAGCAGTATTGAGATGGAAAAGCTTCCACTTGAAAGGCCTAAACATTCATGGGTTTCATCTTTCTATGTGTGACAGAGATTTAAGGAATGGGCTATTTAAAGATGGGATCGGTCTGGATGCTTGTTAGATATTTGTAATTAGAAAGGGGAGAACCAGAGAAAATATGAGTGCGTAAACCACTGATGAGCTTTCCATGGTCCATACAAATTGTCTTCTGACCAACTTAACCATTTGTATAGTGAATTCTTTTACAGTAAATTAAAAAAAAAAAGACTAGATATCTTTAGTTGACACGTAATGGATATCTTTAAAAATTGAACCTCGTGTATTTTAGATTCCATTTACAAGAGGTTTACATCTATTAGACAAAGCAAGGTTCAAAGTGTTTTTAGGGTTCAAAGTATTTTGTTACTTTGATATCAGTAAGTATTGGTATCGTATAAACATAGATTTGAAGATGAATATGGATACCTATTTTGATAGGTTTTGGATTAATATGGATATATTTGAAAGAAATGGATACATTTGAATATTTTAGGGAAATTTGTACAAGTCCTAAAAATACATCAATAATAATAAATATAAAGTGGAAATAACTATGAATAAGGTATAAATACAAAGTAAATGCAAACTTTAGTAGAGATACATAACAATCAACAATACTGGGAGTGAATGACATATACATATCATATAATCATATTTTTTTGATTGGAAATGATAACTTCATTAATACAACTTAAGAATAACTTTCTAGAGTTAAGTACAGTTTTCAACCCCTAAACAGGTGTTGAGCCCCCAGTAATCTTTCTTACAAAACTGCCTATAACATTCTCTCCCTCATAGTCCCTTGTTTAGCCAATGTGTCAGTTAAACCATTAGTTGATCTCCTTGTCCATTTGAAGCATGCACCGATCTCCCTTGTTGTGTTGAGGATTTCTCTTATGGGTTGTCTATAAATCCAGGTTCCCAACTTACCAAATTGTAACCACTCCAATCAACAATTTAGAGTCTCCCTCTATCTCAATTTGGTGTAGCCCCAGTTGTTTGGCATATCTTACACCTTGAAGCAGTGCCATCACCTCCGCTCTCAACAAGTCCCCCACTCCTATTGGTCTTAAAAACATAGCCACAATTCTGCCATTTTCATTTCTGAATACTCCTATACCTAAAGGGCCCGAATTAACTCTAGAACTCCCATCGAAGTTCAATTTCACTCTTTGTTGTGTTGGTGAGGACCACAATTCCTATAAATGTCTTCAATTCCTATAAATGTTGTAGATGCCACCACTTCCCAATTCCTATAAATGTCTTCAATTGAAAAATCTTTAAACAAATCCAAAGTTTTCAACCATTGAATAGTCATAATGATTATCCTTTCTACAATTGCCTCCTTGGATTTCTCCACTCCTTTAAAGATTCTATTGTTCCATTCTTTTAACAATTTTCATATAATAAATTTTCTAACAATACATCAAACAATTTGAGTTTCCAATCTACTAAAAGCTCATTGCAAGACAAATAAAGTTGTTTACAAAAAAGGCACATTAAATTGTTGTTGACCAATGAGTTTTATAGGTCATTGATACACGCATCTTATGGTTCTTCCTTATCATGAAAATCATGTAGAATATATAAATTAATTTTCATATTTTTCTTAAAATTTGGCAAGTGTTTTCAAAACTAGATCAGAATGGATGGTTGGACTAGAAAAACTAGGAACTGGTTTCCGTTTCACCCAAAAACTACTTTTTCACAAAAAAAAATATTGATTTGGTTAGTGAACAGCTGGCCCAGACAGTTGAACCATTGAATCGCTGACCCGGACAATGGTTTTTGGATTTTTTTTTAATTTTAATTTTTTTGTTAGAGTGGGCTGTCCATTCGGGCTAGATGGTCAGGTCGTTCGACCTAGGAACCGGACCTAGAATGGTTCCATGTCTGGTCCTGTTTTAGAAACCTTGTTTTTGGCATTAATTATTGTTAGATCAATGAATTGAATTGATAGATCCATTTATGATTCTTTCCTACAATGAAAATCATTTATAGTTTTCTATTGTTGGGATAGTCTATAGAAATAGGCAAAAGAAATAGAAAGAATTAGCAATTTGTTGACCTATGTCAACAACCATAGGGCTATGGTGGCTATAACCTTTATCGGTGGTCAAAGTGTGCCTCGCACCGACCTCATAGCATGTTTTGGCTGTACTTCGAGAACATCTCCTATACTTGTATTTATTATTCATGGGGAGATGTTTCTAATACATGGTGGAATGTGGTTGTGAGGTCAATGTGGGGCGTGCTTTGTGAGGAGCATATCCCAATTCATTTTTCACATAACTTTGTGATTATGTATTTTAATGTTACTAGGAATACTGCAATGGCCACAACAAATATATCATAATTGATCTAGGCTTGCTAAATTGTAGGTATATAACCTACATATTGGGTGCCAATAGGATTCTTTATGATCCAATAGAATCTTGTCATGCTGTATGGGTTAGAGCAAGGTTTTTAAAACTGAACCGGATAGGGAACTATTCTGGGGTTGTTTCTCGGGTTGAACAATCCAAATAGATGGTCTGCTTTGACAAAAATAAAACAAAAAATTAAAAAACAAAAAAGGCCAAAAATTGTTGTCCGGGTTGACGGTTTAACTGCCCAGGTTAGTGGTTCACTAACCATATTAATGGTTTTTGGCCAAAAAGCGGTTTTGGGGTGAAACAGAACTGGTCAGGTGATTGATTCCCTATTTTTCTAGTTTGATCGTCCAGTCCGGTCCGATTTTGAAAACTCTAGGTTAGAGGTTTCAATTGGGACCATTAGGCTCCATTTGTTTTGTGGAATGAGAAGGAAAAATGGAATATTCTCAAAATATCTTTCCCTTTCCAATGTTATTTGGTGTATGGTGAAATTACAATTCACAATTCTTGGAAGTGGAATTACACCATTTTGGTGTGAAAAGTAGAAAAGGTGGAGTAATTTGTTACTTGTTTAACATAAAAGAAACACCTTCCTTGTGGTATTTTTAGTAGTACATCAATCAAACCCACGACCCATTATTAAATATTAATTATTTAATAAAATTTAATAACATAATTTAACTTAATAAATAAATAATTATTAATTACTAACGACTAATTGTTTAATATTAATATTATATAGTAAAAATATTATTAAACAATTAATAATTATTTAAAAATATTACTTATTAAATAATAATAATAATAATAATAATAATATAAAATAAATATTTAATCAATTAATAATAAATATGAATAAAATAAAATACTAACTAGTAAAAATAAAAGATGAATTAATAATCAATAATTAATAATTAATAATAATTTAATAAATTAATAATTAATAATTATTTATTTATTTAATAATTAATTATTATTATTATTATTATTATTATTGGAATTGATTTTCCACTATTTTTTCTTTCAACCAAACAATGGAATGTGAAAAATTTCAACCCATTTCCCTTTTCTCATCCAATCCCATCCATTCCACAAAATCTTCTCTCAAACCAAATGTAACTTTAATGTATAAATAAAGCTTTGGGAAAATTGTTGATAACAAAGGCACATGTTGTTAGATAGTGTATGCCCTTAGCTCCAATCAGATTGATGTACATTATGACATTTATTATAAATGAATAAAGTACATATTTGATTCATGTTATTGTGGTGTGTTTCTGTGTAATACTCTTAAGCTGAACACTTATGAAACTCGTGTTAGTTTAGAATATTCACATCTGTTGGATAAGTCTGGGGAGATTTATCCTGCTAAGGCTGACCCAGATGTACCACCAAATGTTGGGGTGGCCTGTCTCAACTGTCAGGGTGAGACCCGAGGTACATGCAGTGTAGATTTACTTGAAACCCTGAACCGGACCAGATTTCTAGTATTGCCTTGGACCTTGGTGATTAGTGGGCAAAACTGGAAAGTTACACTTGACCCCTAGACTCGATTATGATACTGCACTAGGTGTTGGATTGGGCTGTCTTTGATATGCTAATCAGTGAAATCCTTAGAGGGGGTCAAAACCTAGGTATGCTGGGACAGTCCGAGAATTCATCTGAGTGGGTGATCATAGTGACAGGATCAGCCCCTTTGTCGGACAAAGGAAATGATCGGGGATGCACTCTCTCTGATGGAAA